GCAGGAATAATTTCCACAAAAATAAAACTCTTAATACAGCAGAATTTTAACTTTGAAGTAAATTTTTCAAGTATTTCAACAGCATCTCATTTGTGGAGAACACAGCTGTAGGCAGGTAATAGCCAAAAAATAGTCATGCATTTAGGTTCAACTGCAAAAGAAAGTTTGGTTCTTAAGAGAGTTACAATTTTCCACACTCATACAACCAAAAAAATCCATTTAAAGGCAAGTTGCATTACCAAAGCATAGATTACCATGTAATGGCCTCCACTGTGAGATTTGTCCGTACTGTGCATTCCTTTTTCTGATATGATCAGGAGAAATGAATTTATCATTCAACAAATTTACACGTTAAGTAACATGTGAGTAGCCAGCGAAGAAAAGACATTTTGAGAAAAAGACACATTTCCTCACTCACACGCTCTAGTGTTTCAACACTTCCGCAAATCAGAGCTGCCCATTTAATTGCTTAGCTAAGAAATTTTTCATTACCTTAAGAGACAAAATACCAGTCATTTGTAAACACTTAATCACTCACCCATCAAAATCTTACATGACATTCAACATTGCCTCTGATAACAATTCCTCCATGAGTGACCTATATCAAAAGGCCAAACCCTAAAAATCTCCAGGACCACTGCAAAGAAACTGGTATCTGGCCTATACTCACTAGATTTCATGGCATTCGGGGCGTTGGAAGGTGCATTCCCCCAGCCTGTTGTCGATGCTCCTGTATCATCTACTTCACCCCACCCAGGACTGGTTTCATTTGGCTCACCCCAGGCGGACGTACCATTATCTGGAGCAGGTGGAGTGCTTTTGCTCCAGACTGCACAAAGGAGAAAGAGTTTTCATTACAGACCATTTAGACAACAAACTATTTACTGCAGTGCAGCACCACGTCATTAATCTACTGCTTCATTCTTTCTGTTGAGGATTTTAGATTCTCGATAGTGTGAGTGCAACAGAATTGACAACTGTTCACATCAAACTTAGAGTGGGCACTGACCTCTAGGGATGAAAAAGAAGAGAATGCTATGATGAGTAACATTCTTCTCCCAGGTTAAACACGAACCCCAGATCTAATGCTGTCCTCCTGTCTGGTGAACTTTTGTGACTAATTAAAAGCACCAGACTAATTCAGGGTTTTCATATACTGAAGAAAGAATAAGGACATATTTGAAGTACATATTAAAACAAAATAGTATTCTTTAAAGCATGTCTGAGTCAGAGAAGAGATTGCATAACAAAAACATCTTAATATATTTCCAGGCTATGTAACTCTTTCTTGTCCTTATTTCAAAGAAGAAAATATTTTGCTAAGTAGTCTTTATCATACAGCAGAGCCAAATTGAGCTGAAAAAAATAAAGCAGAGATTCACTCTCTTTCAAGTGCTAAGTGTTTCAGAGCAAAAAGGTTTTGACTAAAAATAAGTAAAGAATTTCTCCGTTTCTCTAATAATCAAATTTAATAAAAAATGTGATTTAGTCTGGAGAAGAGGAGGCTGAAGGGAGACCTTATTGCCCTCTACAACTACCAGAAAGGAGGTTGTAGCGAGGTGGGTGTTGGTCTCTTCTCCCAAGTAACAAGCAATAGGACAAACGGAAACGGCCTCAAGCTGTGCCAGAGGAGGTTTAGATTGGATACTAGGAAAAATTTCTTCACTGAAAGGGTTGTCAAGCACTGGAATGGGCTGCCCAGGGAAACAGTTTAGTCCCCTTCCCTGGAGGTATTTAAAAGACAGGTAGACAAGGTGCTTAGGGACATAAACCTGATGATCTTCAAGGGTTTTTTCCAACCTAAATGATTCTATGATTCTGTAATTCAAACCGTTCTTCAGAGCTCAGACTGAATATGCAGATTTGTCATCTAACAAACATTTTCTTTTACTGGCAAGCTGACCAGTATTCAGATTACAGTTACTGAAGCACACCAAGCAGAGGACAGATTGATTAAAATTTTAAAGACACTTTAAATACAGTACCAAATATTCAAAATAAGAGATTGGTTTTCTTTATGGAATAAAACTATTAGAATTGGAGGCTACACAAGTATCTCTTATGCATTAAGGTTACATTCATATATAGGAGCTTGCTGAAAAAAGGTACAAGACTAGTACCTGATGCTTGTGATTTGCTAGTCATTGGAGTAGGCAGGCTCTGCTCCCGTGGCGCCTGTCCTCCTTGTGAGTTCTTGTCCCACAGGTTCACATTCTTGTAGTTGTAACTGCTAGGATCTCCCCACGCTGAAGTGCCATCATCAATATCCATTTTTCGACTGATTGACTGTGGAGAAGGTTCTTCCCAGCCACTAGGCTCCTCCTCTTTGGGGGCAGCTGGCTGTGGTCCGCTGTTCCAGTTTGGGTTTGGAGGTCGCCCATTACTTGGAGTTTGGGGCGGTGGACCCCAGGAACCAGAAGCCTCCTGCTGTTGCTGCTGGTGCTGCTGCTGCTGCTTGTTCCAGGAGTTGGGCTGTCGACCCGTCTCATTCCATGTTCTTTTACAATCATCCCATCCACCCTTTGAAGCAGCGCTTGTATTTGCACCATTACCCCAAGTTCCAATCTCATTTTGCCCACCTTCACCCCAACCAGACACTGGCTTGTTTCCTGCACTTTCCCAGTTGCTGTTTTTTGTTTGGTCAACTTCCTCTCCCCAACCGTTCTTTCCAGAAGACCATCCTTGATTAGGTTGCCGTCCACCCCACCCCTGATCCTTACTAGAGCTGTCATTCCAAGAGGAAGATGATTTTTCTTCTGATCTTCCTCCTCCCCAATTAGAAGAATTGGGGTTCTTATACTCATTCCATCCTCCAGTATTTTTGGGGTCCTTCCACTCCGTTGGGGTTGAGAGCTCACCCCATCCAGACTTGATTTGATTGCTTTGGCTGGGTACATCGCCCCAGCCCCCTGAGTTCTTTGTCTGTGTGGCAGAGCTCTCCCACCCCTCAGTTCCTTTATCAGACTTCCCCTCAGGCCGCGGCATCTCTTCAATATCCCACACGGTATCTTGCTTAATTTGAGTTTGGCCCCAGCCAGTGTTTGAAAGCACTCGGGGGTCCAAATCAGTCCTGCTCAGCAAAGTCTGCAAGACTGCCTGGCAATCAGGATGCGTAGGCCTGTATGATCGGCGTCCAGAATTGTGACTGTCACTACTTCCTGCTTTGTGGTTGCTTCCAGTGCTTTGACCTCCAACCTCACTTCCTGCAGAGCTGGAAGATCTTCCCCAACAGGGAGCCTGGGAATTGCCTTGGTTTTCAGGAAGAGGGTGGCCTTTTTGATTGTCCCATGCTCCAGTGCTAGAATTTGGTTGGTTTGGACCACTCCATTCTCCAATCTTCAGTTCATCAGACCCAGACAGCTGTTTCCATTCTCCCTGAGAGACCCCAGATGTTAATTTGTTCCCTTCACCCCATTTGCTTTCATTTGCATGCTGAGGGCCAAAGTTCCAAGACCCACCACCCGTAGACCTGTTATTGTTATCCCAAGAATCACTTCTTGACCCATTAGGTTTTTGAACAGAAGCTCCTTTCCAGGAGTCCTCTCTATCCTTTCCATTGTTCCCATGGTTTCCAGAATTGCTCTGTCCAGAGACTGTGTCAGTTCCAGAAGACCCCCTAGCTGTACCCCAAGATCCAACACTCCCAGTCTTTCTTTCTCCAGTGCTTTGTGAAGGGGTGTCAGTGCTCCTGGAAGGGTTCCCCAAGCCCATTTCAAAGGGCATTCCCTTATTCTCCATAGGGTTTGGTGAACTTAAGTTCAAGGAGTTAGTGTTTCCATTTTTTGGTCCATCAGTGTTATGAATTTGAGCCTGTTCTCTGCCAGAGACAAAGTTAACACCCGCATTTTCCATCTTTGACTGCTGTTCCCTAGAGGTCTGACCTACTGTGCTAATCTGTGCATTGGAGCTACCACTATCAGATTCCAAAGTCCCTTTCCTAGAATTGCCCTCTTGAACCAGTGCCGGCCAAGCAGACGGGTTGCTATTTGGGTTAAAGTTGCTGAAGCCAGAACCGGGACTGATTCTATCTTGTCCACTCAAGTTCCTCCAATTACCTAGTCCATTGTTACTCTCGGCAGCAGGGTTGGAAGATTGAACAGATTTAGCCTTGGGATCAGATTTCCAGGCCCCAAGATTACATTCGTTTCCAGCGCTTCCAGACTGGCACTGGCTTCCTTTTCCTTTGTTACTAGTGGTGCTTCCTGGCAGAGCATTCTTCTCCAAGCCAGGGTTCGAGGCACTGTTGTTATCGGTGGTGTTTTCGGAAGAAGACTCAGCATCTTTGCTGGCAATACAAGGCCACTCTTCCATGTCAGACCCGTCTACAATCACCTTGTCCCAGATGTGAGTTGGGTTGGCGTTGGTGCCGCTGTTGGAGGAGGCTCCAGGACCCCAAGTGGAATTTGCATAATTTGGAGCAGCAGCACCTCCAATTGCTGAATCTAAACAAAAACAAAACCCCACACCCAAAGAGGTCATTAATAATCAATATTATCTACAAGCACTGAACATCACATTTTTGACACCACTGATTACTATTTTCATTAATCAGAACCCTTCCCTCAAATGCATAACAAAGTTACTTCGGAAGAACATCAGGCTGGAAAACATAATTGAGAATGCTGATAAAAAACTTCGTTCAACAAACTGTCCAAAAACATTTTGTGGGGATTTGAATTCACTGTTGACTCACTACTTCTGCCAAGAGTCCTGTGCTAAATACAACATAATAATTATAACCCAGTTAATGAACCTGCATGGTCATTATTGATACTGGTTGTAGACTTTTCAATACTGATTTAAAATCATATTATACAGAGAACAAGAAAGTGTATGTGCTTCACGCACGTGTGTGTACACACAGTCAGCTGTCGGTCTGCTACTCAACTGGCTAAAAGCAACTACAATTTATTACAGATTGAAAGACAAAAGATTGGAGGCAAAACTCATCTAATGAATATATAAAGTTGAAGAAGTCTATCCTCCAGCTTCAATGTTTTTCAAGTTGATTTTGCTACTAGGAATTTCTTTCAAACCTTTGCAAAACAAATAAAATTTCCAAAGGTTACTGTAAATCAAAAGAGTCCAAACCTACACAAATTACAATTTCTGTGTAGTAACACACAAGCTGTATTTAGTATGTAACTACCCCACATGTGTCACTGCTATATTTACCCTAGAAACCAGAGTTTATGGTTTTGTGAGCAGCTAAGCTGATCTCTCTGCCACTAGATGAAGGCTAGTAAGAGATCTCACTTCTCCTCCTCCCTCTCACCAGTTCTACCTACTTCAAGTTCCCCGAGTTCCACCTCTCCTTTGTGACAGTTCTGATGGCAGTTAAGCCCTTCAACTAAGTTGGCTGTATTCACTAACTCAACACAAAACTCCGCTTTTTGATGGGTTGGCTTTTTGCTGGCTTAGCACACTGCACAGGGTAACCTGCAAGTTCAGTGAGCTTTGGAGTCACTATAAGGAAATTAGCAGGATTAAAAACAATTAATAGGGCTCCTTTCTTTCATCTGTGGTGAACTATTATTATGTCTGTCCTGGTTTCGGCTGGGATAGAGTTAATTTTCTTCCTAGTATCTGGCATAGTGCTGTGTTTTGGATTTAGTATGAGAATAATATTGATAACACACCGATGTTTTAGTTGTTGCTAAGTAGTGTTTGTACTAGTCAAGGACTTTTCAGCTTCCCATGCTCTGCCAGGTGCACAAGAAGCTGGAGGAGGGCACAGCCAGGACAGCTCACCCAAACTGGCCAAAGGACTATTCCATACCATGTAACATCATGCTCAGTATGGGGGGAGTTGACCCAGGGGCAGCTATCACTGTTTGGGGACAGGCTGGGCATCCGTCAGCGGGTGGTGAGCAACTGCATTGTGCATCACTTTTTTTGCATACTCTATTATTATTATTATTATTATCTTCTCTTCCTCTGCTTTTCTATTAATCTGTGCTTATCTCAACCCATGGGTTTTACTTTTTTTTCCCCAATTCTCTCCCCCATCCCACTGGGGGCGGGGGGAGAATGAGTGAGCAGCTGTGCAGTGCTTAGCTGCCAGCTGGGGTTAAACCATGACAATGTTCTATGTGGTATGACTTCTCATGGACAAGATATTTGTATATAGCTTTAAAGCAGACAAATTAACACAGTGCCACAATGGATGAAGCTTATGTCAGTGCTGGCAGCATAGTATCTGCATATATGCAGACATGTTATCTTTGTTGGTTTAAAACGTCAGCCAAGATTCCCTTGCCATCCACATAATTACACCTGATCCTCTAAATATTTTAAGTCCATTAGTACTTCCGTGTTGTTCTCTGTAGGGTTCCACTCATTTTTCTGTATTTTTAATACTAAGGGGCCCTAAATTGCCCTCACCACAAATTCCCAGTGATAAAGACTAAACACTCGCCCTTCTACAAAACCATGTGGCCTAATACATTAGTCTTATTCAGTTACCCCACCCAATCAGTTTAACTTTGCACAGCATAAAGTTCACAGTAACACCTGCATCAGTATTCATACCTGAATATATACTGTTACCACCAATACTGGTTCATATGACAGCTGCTACGAAAATAAAGCATAATGACCTTGAAAAAGTGGATCCCACTCCCCGCCCCCAACAAGTTCTTATGTTATATATTCAGAAGTAAAGACCACAATTTCTGGTTGCTAACCAATGAACAGCCACTGAATGCCTTCCAGATCCCCTTCTTTGAAGGCTACCAGTAAAGATCCAGACTTCACAGCAAGGTTAGGACTCTTGTAAGCTTTGACTACTGATGAGCAAAAGTTTGTCTTCATCCACTAAACCCCAGCCACCAAGATCCAAAAGACCAAGCAGTTCCCATGTGCATTCTGTTCCTTAACCTCAAGTGCAAACTTAACAATAGCAAGGAAGTGTGACTCTCTACTGATATTTGTATCTGGCTATCTTTTTAGTACTGAGTGAAAAACTTTCTGGTTAGACTGATCACAAGAATTGCTTAAGGAGGGCAGCCAAAGGCAAGTTCAAAAGACTGCAAGGTTGCTGTCTTTTGAACTTAGCAATGATTCAGCAAATGAATGATGCATAGGCAGCTATGCCCTTAGCAAGATCTTCACATAGGTGGTTTTAACAGAGCATTTCACACTCCATTTCTGTAAAGACATTCTAAAAGTATTAAGATTGGGATGCTTCCTAACATAGCGTACTAGGACACAACTTAATGGACTGTTTTATAAAACCAGTCTCCCCTTGCTATATTTTTGGCAATTTATGGTTTTGTCTTAAGATAATGGGTAAGGGCTCCTGGTTCTTAAACAGACTCTTCCTTAGTAACATGCTGAAGATAAAAGAGTTTCTGATCTGACTAAAAGGAAAAAGTTACTAGCAAATGGCTACTTTTAATGATGAAAAGTATGAACTAAGTGAAAGTATTGAAATGGAGTCCTTAAATGAAGATGTAGTTTTGCTGTGAGATATGGTGGTGATTCTTAGAGGGTATTGTAACTATTGGAAGACTTTACCAATAAAATTTAAGCTTTTCTTTCCAAAATTGGCTTGCACATCCTGCATATCACTGGTACGGGAAGAATTATATACACTACTCTCCATCCCAACTCCCCGTATTGCTACGAGACAATAGTAAATTTGGTGTCATCTTCCAGGGAATCATAGTTTTGCCATCTTACAGAAGTATTTAAAGATCCACATAAAGAAGGATTATGTATTGACTTTTTGTATTAAAGCACTACCAACACCATCTATACCTATCTGGCAAATACAACAATGCAAAGGAGTAGATAAGCTGCATTATTCTCCCCTTTGGGAACCTGCTTTTGTTTTCATGTGGGATGAATTAATCACAGTATCAGTGCATTAAGTGCCTAACAGAATCAGGCCCAATCTGAAATCCAATTTGTAAACAGCCAGGATCTCAGATGGGACTAATGATGTGCGAGACAGACAGCAACACCATACTTCCATAAGCACTTTGACGGAGCACCTTAAGCGACAGCTCCAGCCCTTCCCTTGTCCAGCTGCTCATTCCCACTCCTGTGGCACACCTACTCTCACATGCTAGCACGTACGATCCCACTGATATTCAATGAGCTGAACTGGTGAATCACCCAGACTGAAGTTAGCTTTAAAAAACAACCCGGGTTAAATTTTAATCCAAGTCAGCTCCCCAGCCCAGTTACATGTGTTATGGTGCAGAAATCTTGATAGGGTAAGGCAGGTCTGAAGGACCCATATCTTTCTTAGCAACACTCCTGACTTACACTAGGGTAAAGCAAATAACCGTTGCCACAATCAATAAAATACAACCGTGTAACATCTTAGTTGTTAATGCACCATTAAACTAAATGGAAAAAATATGAGAATTCATAAAATCAAATTTCAGTCTCTGAAAAACAAGTATTAGGTGTCAAATTAATTACACAGAATTTAAGTAGCCTCTAAAATACTCCAAAATAGGTCTCAAACAGTACATCCAGCAGCAAAAAAAATACTGTTCATGAGAAATTTTGAAAACTTTTAGAACGCTTCCCTATCATAAGCTCTCCTTTGTCAGTCTGGTCATCTAGGTGACAAGTGACAGATGTCTGCCATCTGTAGGCCTGAGATCTACATGTCTGTTTTACCAGACCATATAAAAAAGTATCAAGATAGGAGATTCATGTCATCAGAGAAACCTAAAGAGCTATTAAGAACTACTCAATGACAACCATAAAATGCTTTTAATCTGTGCACTGTGTTTATCTTGGTGTGGTCTTAAGAGCATTACAGCATCTGATTCAAACTACCCAAAACATATTTTAAAAAAATTAACCTTCTTTCCTGCTCCATCTAGTAGTAAAAATTGCATCCGCTGCTGCTAACAGCAAAAGAGAAGTCTATACACTAAATGAGAAGTGCTCCAAAAGCAATCTGAGGAGTTTTATTACATAATTATTTGCGTATACACAATTTTAGTGATCCCTTTTTCTGCCATGCACACACATGTGTCCATTTAATATTATTGTTACTCGCCTGTTGCAGTCCCACTGTCGCTCTGCAGCAGTGCTCCTGTCACTGGTTGTGCGTTGTTTGGGTTTGCTCCTGGTGCTGATGGGGGCGGAGGCCCTGCTCCACCCCCAAGGAGCATACAGGATGGCGGAGGGGGCTGCCCACGTTTCAGTAACACTTTGTGGTCCTGCTGGCAACGGAATCGCGGCGGCACCTCCCGAGGCATGTAGCGGGCGGTGCTTGGCGGTTGTCCGTTCGGCACTGCCACCCTTTTGGCATTGTTGCCACCATTGACTGGTGGCGATGGAGAGTTGCCAATTGGGCTGGCAGCCACTGGTTGGCTTAAACTTGGTTTCGTCACTTCGGGCACTGAAAAACAGGAAGAATGAAAATCAGAAATTTTTCCACTTAAACCTCTGTTAGCTGCAACAAGTCACTGCGACTCTTTCCTTCTATAATTTCATTCTTCTCTGAAATACTGTGCAACTTTTAATTAAATTGGTCTTCAGTAAGTTTAAGAAACAGGAATAAGCAGTAGCAGGAAACCTCTTGCTTCCATGTGCAACTCTGTACCCCAGGATGAAACTCTGCCCTCAGCCAAGTATTTTCCTCTAAGCCCCAAATTTCTTGAAAATGTAAAGTTGGCAAAGAATACCACCCTGGGCAATGAGTCATTTTAAAGTATGAGCTGCCAAATATAACTGTTTTCCCCCCCCCTCTGTTCCCTGACCTTCAATTGGTTTTTGGATTGTTATGCATCACCCTTATAGGAAATCTGAAATCAGATCCCAAGTTTTCACCTGCTTACTAGGCTACACAGACACTGCCAAAACAAACAAAAAGAGAGTAACCAACTACCCCCCCCGCCCTTGGGTTCAGAGTTAACAAATCTCAGTTCTCTGTACTGCTCTTAAAAAAGGCAGTAATAGTTGAATCTCACCCAAAGGGCAGTCCTACACACAGCATCTGGATTGGGCTCACCTAAAGTTTCCCAGCTGGTCACCAGGTGCCCCTATAAGCAAGGACAAGCTGCTTCTGAGGGCTATTATGCATTGGAGAAGAGAAAAACCACAAACAAATCCTCGAGGAACTACTACCATAACAAAATTTGCTTAAGAGACTCCAGACTTGTAACCCCTTGCTCAAATTCTCCATGCACTTTTTTTTTTTTAAACAGAGCAAAAGAAATTCCTAGCCAGGCACCTACGAGATATAATTGCTAAGACATCAGACTCTAAAGCAAAGAAAATTTAATACATCTACTCTAGCCTTTATTGAAGATCAATACAAGAAAGGGATGTCCAGAAACCCCTCCCCAACAAAGCAAACATAATCAGTAAAACTTTTCCTCTTACAAATGTGACATCAAAACAAGTCAGTCTCTCTTTCGCAACATGAATGCATTATTCCCCACATTTTATTTTGATAAGGGTTTTCAGATTTCTCTATATGGGCTTCATTGCCCAACCCCCCCAAAAGGATGTTAGCTGTAAAATTAAGTTACTACCTTCAGTTCTCTTCTGTCAATAATGGCAATTTCTCCACACAATTTTTAGAAAACTGACACACAAATCAAGATTAAATATATTTTTAGATCAGCTAAATAAGCTTAACTTTCAAGATGCTCACTCGTGAGTCCTGCCTTACCTGTTGGACTTTTAGGTGCCTGAACTTCTCTTAAGTTTCCAAACCCAAGTAATTTTCACTCATTTTGGTACCTCACCATAAGCAGTACTTTCACTGTCTTCCATTCATTTTGTATAGGTGGTTTCAGATTCTGGTTACTTGTCTAAAACCTTTGCAAAACTGAAAACTAAGTATTTCAGCTAACCTAGTTTATCCACAATCGTCACTCCCTCTTCCGGTATTTTGATGCTGACAACATGGACAGTTTTAGGTTCTCCATTTTGATCACCTGTTTTTACTTCTTCTGAATACACATCTTCAGTATTTCATCTTGATTCATAATTCCCCTTTCTTTTCTAACAGCTGTGATCAAGATCCAAGTCTTGGCCCAAACCAATAAAAAAATGTTATTTAGGATCAGAGATTCTTACCTTTGGTTTTTTGATCTGTGACCTGCAAATTAAGAGCAAGAATGTAAATAGAGTTTTAAGAACATCAAAACAAACACTGAACAGACTGCACTAAATCACTACCTTAATTTATTAGCACAAGAACAGTACTTGTTATTGCATGAAAATAATCAGCTAAGGAACTACAAGTCTAAACAGTATTCCTAGTCATATATATGAAGTTTTCAAAAATAGTACAGCTCCTATAATACCTTTGCCTGATGCAAAAGTCCCTGGCAGAAACAGTAAATTACTTCACTCACAATGATTTTCAGTATTCACCCCCCTCCTCATTCCAAACATGGACTTCCAAAGCACAAATACACATGTGCTATATAGCACTACAGTTCTTTCAGATTTTGGAGGTGAAGTTAAAGTGTAACATAAACCTTCCTTCTATCAGAGTTTCCTTACAGTAGGCTGTTGGGGCTAGCAACAGAATTCCCACAGGAGTAACCACAGGTGAGAGTAGCAGCCTGTCTTCTCTGACATCTTCCCATTTTACCTTTCCCATGACATATCTTCCAAGGAGAAGAAAACCTAAAACTTACTGGATTGATTGCCGCAATTACAAAAAGTACCAGCAATACCTATTAGACACCAGACTTCAAAATCGCTTGAACGCAGTAAGAATTTGAGTACTGAAGTGAGCCACCACGCTGACCAACGTACTCAACATGTGGTTTTGCTGTACTTCTACATTCTTTCAGCACAGCAGATTTCAAGCTACAGTAGAGACAAATGTACCACTGGTATATTCTCTGGAATCATGTGTATTGTAGCATGTTTTGAACATGTTGATCATGAGTTCCACTACACAATAATGGAAAAACGCTAAAGATCATCATGTGTCAGGTTCCATGACACCTATTCTTAAAAGAAATTGCTGAACTAGTCCATAATTCTGGAAAGCACACAGTGACACTATAGAATAATGAAAGCACAAGTAAAAAGCAGTTTATTGTTTAAACCAACCAAGCCAGAACTCCTTTGTATGGTAAAGAATAAAAAGACAAACTGCACTGAATTACTGTAGCATCATTTACTTTGCAAAGATGAACACTGCAATACGCAAAGTGGAATGTTCACTATAATAAAAAAATCTTAAGCATTGTAACTTCACAGAATCATGTAATCCAAAAGTCTCCAAGACACTAAAAATGCATCTGTACCAAAACTCCATCTGTACCAAAACTCCATCTGTACCAAACCAGACACCAATTTTCATTTATGAAAAATCCTGTATGTGTCAAATTACATTTTCTTCTGTATCACAGTTAAAAACTGTAATAAGCACTTAAGTGACTCTGATGCTCCACATCAGAAAAGGAAGAGGGGATAGGGGGGATGGCGGGGGCGGGTGGGAAATTACTTCTGCCTGTACTGCATCTCTCTCCTAGTCAAAACGACCTGGTTTTGTGAATTTTTTTGGTCTAGAATACAAAAGCTGAGAACATGTGACACTATCTCAGATTTACAGCTGTCAACTCTCTGTGGGCAACCTGTAAGCATCCTCCACATCAGAAAAGGAAGAGGGGATAGGGGGGATGGCGGGGGCGGGTGGGAAATTACTTCTGCCTGTACTGCATCTCTCTCCTAGTCAAAACGACCTGGTTTTGTGAATTTTTTTGGTCTAGAATACAAAAGCTGAGAACATGTGACACTATCTCAGATTTACAGCTGTCAACTCTCTGTGGGCAACCTGTAAGCATCGGCAGGGCAGGAGCAGCTATAGTGAGCAGGAAGGTGGAGTCAAACTCAGCCTTCTGACAAGCTACCAAACAGCCCCTGGGACACCAACCACAGGAATTTAGTCTGTGACTTTGTTTGCATAACCTCTGCTGAAGCAATTAGTTTATTTTTTTTATTTTTTAAGTTTCAGAAGATCCAGACAGAAACAACTGTTTCATGTTGTACAAACTCTGTCTGAAAAAGGTACCCCCAAATCATTACTGCTTATTTGGCGAACACCACCACAGTCACTAAGAACGAAAACACACATTTATGTTCTGTCCATTCGGTTGCCTGCTTTGCTATTCCTAGGTATCTCCAAGTATTACTGTTAAGTTTGGTCTCTAGGAGATTAACTTATTTAGTGTTTAGCCATCCCAAGATTTTGGCAAAATATCATTATATTCAATCATACTGAATAGCTTAGTAGGTGAGGGACCACACAGGAAAGCTCCTTTGTATTCAAAGCACCGATTCCTCAGTAAACACTCACAGCAATGTTACCAAGATGAGGGGTACAACCTTTTTTAAGTTTCTCTTGTATCACTGAATATCAACATATAATCCTCAAGTCACTAGTCTTTATTTAACAGGGTCTGCTCCTGCTGGTTCCTACATAGACTTTTTGTACTTGAACATTAAGCCAAAATTTAACTGGAATCAGTGATGGCTGTTCTCAGCAGAAACCTACAGAATCTAACACCGAGTAACGTCTCATTTTTTGTAGGATCTGCTGTTACGGAAGCAACTGAATAACAGAGACCACTGAAATAAAGTAAAGCCTTCTACTCTCAGTTTCACATGATCACTGAGGTTGGAAGGTACAGCCTCTAGAAACTGAGTCCACAGTTCCCACTGCTACTCCCCACCCATGCCCAGGAGTGTCCCTAACTCAACACAAGTCACCAAAACCAGATTGCACAGGGCCACGTCCAATTTGGTTTAGAGCATTTCCAAAGATGGAGGCACCACAACCTCCCTGGGAAACCTGTTCCAGTGGTTGCCCAGTCACACACACGGACAAAAAAAGCCTTTTTATGATTAAATGGAATTTCCTGTATTTCAATTTGTGCACAATGCCTTGTGCCTTGTCGCTGGGCACCACTGAGAAGAGCCTGCCTCCATCTTCTTTAATCCCTTCCCACAAAGTATTTATATATATAATATAGTATATAATAATAATAATATTGTAATCGATGTATATAAATACTGAGCCTTCTCTTCTCCAGGCTGAACAGTCCCAGTTGTCTCAGCCTCTCCTCCAGCCAGATACTCCAGTCCCTTAATCACCTGAGAGGCCTTTTGCTGGACCCACTCCAGGATGGTTACATCTGTCTAGAACTAGAACTCATCATAACTAGACAGAAAGGATTTTACTAGTAAAAAGCATGGATAAAGCTGCAAGAGGCTCAAGTTCATATGTCAACCTCCTAGACTAAGCTACTATATTTTCAGCAAAATAGAGAGCTTCTAATACACCAAGTGTTCAAACCCATTTACTGAGCAAAACCAATTTGCAGTGACTTATCAATTCTCCACAGCTCAGACTCGAACTGACACACCTCAGCAAAAGTGCTATTAGCTACAGAAAATGTAAAACCTAAGTGATACTTGGCAAAGTAAAGGGAACTTTCAGTAGTGAAAGTATTTCATATCAAGTTCCTTAAGAACTTACAAAAAAAAAAATCTTCTTGCTCTAGAAAATAGTTAATTTTACTGCAAGAATTGCAAAAGCCCAGCAGCATTTCCATCCCCAAAGACCTCAAAACAGCAGGAGTTGCACAGATCAAGAGATCCCACATGCAGTAACTTAAGTTTAATACTTTATATCGAAAAACTTATTTTACTTCACATGACATCCTAAGCCCTAAGGAGAAATGTCTAAGTTAAACACTTATGTTCCAGAAAAACAATGCAAAAAATAGCCTTTAATGAAGCATCACTCTAAACAATGAAGTTTTTAAGCTCAAATACAACCAATTAATATCTTGCAACCCCCCAGTATTATTTATGTTCCAGCTGGACAGAAAAATTCAAATACAAAAACCTACCTTCTGAGCAGATTCCTTCTTTTTCTTATCCTCTTTCTTCCTTTTCTTGTCTTCCATTAACTGTTCTTCCCTTTCTTGCTCCTTCTCTCTGCCAAAACATAAAAACAATGGTATGAGCACAATCAAGTTGGATAAGAGCTACATGTACTATATCCCTCTCCCCCCCAAGAAAGGAAGTCCAGATATTAGATTCCTCTTATCATCATACTTCATTTGCATTTGAGGGTTTCAGTCTAACTGAGATAAGAAAAGCACCTTCTAGCTCAGTATGGCCACAATCATGCCACTTGCTGCATAAAGGAAAATTCCTTTATTTGGATCAGGCGTCTTATGGCAGTACCCTATAGAAATTAGCTACATGCCTGATATTAGAAAATATCTTCAAGACATTTTGGCCAAAGTACCCTTTTAATTGGGTTGTGCTATTATTTAATGAACAGTCTCATGAATCTTTTCATATGGTAAAAAAGGGGGAGTTGTAATTTGATAGAAGATGGTTTGGTCTGATACGACATTTATCTTCACAAGGGGAAGAGATTATTCTATTGCCTGTAGCTATGTCACTTGTAAGAGACTAGAAGTGTCATATCAAATCAAAACCGTAATTTATTATACAAATCACTAATTTAATTTCTAGCCTATTATACCCACCCACAGAATTCTTGTGATGAAACTTGTAATATAAATTACTTTCCAGGAAATCTATTTTTTCCACAAAAAGGGAAGAAAAATATGTGCAGCTGCTATTGTTGTCAAGCTATCATCTTGTTGCTATGTTTTGTATCAAATGTGAAAGTATGAGAAAATGGTTAATTTACTGCATATATGCTATTGGCTGAGCTGTTTCTATGGTGAATCACATTTTTGTTAACCAATTCTCTTCGCCTCCTTAAAAGTAAATTTAAGGTCAAGTTTTCAGCTCACTTGGAGTAATTTCTTTTTATAAGGAAAAACTAAGACAAAGACAATTAATGTATTGATGACCTGACAGGTGAGGGCTAGGACCAGAGACCAAAGATGTGCACTTTACAAATGGGAAACAACTAACAAGTGTAACCCATGATCTTTCAGAACAAGATTTTGTAAAAAGCAGAACAGCTTTATAACCAAAAGTTGAGTTTATAACAATACTAAACTATTTCTTATATTTATGCACAAATCAAAGCTCTTTTTTGACCACAGCTTAAAAAGCTTAGAGTTGAGTTGGCTTTGCTGTCACATCACTTAGACTTTTACTTTCATTGCATTTATATGGTATAGGTAATATTTTTCTTTGCGTTTTCACGAGATACTGCCAAGCCCATGTACAAAGACATATTTTCATAACTAATCAATTTCTACAAAATTATTTTGAGATGCTATGCGTTAACAGCTTCCCGAATGAGGACTTTAAAGAACACTCTTAAAGAAAAAAGGTTCTATGGACAGTAATAAAATCTCTTCCTGATTTCCTGAAGTTAGGCTCTCCTTCATGGATGGAGAAAATGGATAAGGGCAAGATGAGTCCTTAGTAACAACATCCTGAGGTTATTACCAAATGCAATTCACATGTAATGGCAAGTTCAGTCTGCATTTAACAGCTTGAGGCAAGCATTCCACATCATATGGAACAGTGTTTTATGTGCTCTGATAATGCTTAAGCCAGGTCAGTTCTTGCTCTGTTGTCTATAAAATGTCAAAGCACATTTCCCAGCCCTAAACTCTGGCAAGGAAAAGCCCCACAGGTTTTTCAGTTTTACTAACAGCACAGGACATGAAGCATTGGGGAGGTTAGTATACTTCTCGTTGCCTGACACAGCATTGAGACAAAATTTTCCATTTTGAGACACAGACTGTAGCAATATGAAAAAGCTCTCCAGTGACACCCTCATCTTTCAAAGTTATTATAACCTCAAATTATGTTTACTACTCTTGTATTGTCAAGCTATGCGTGCCTTTCGGGCTGCAGTGCCAGTTACAAGTATACTCCAAAAACCTTTCTTGCAGCAGGCAAAAGTTTAAGAGTTATCTTGTAAGAGCTGCTGAAAAAGGGTAGGATCAAAATACAAAGGACTTTCAGTAACTGCCTGTCACACAGACAGCCTTCTACTTTAAAGCACCTTCCTTAGTTTTGTGAGCAGAAGAGCAGGGAACGGAAAAGAATGAGAAAAAGGTCATATTCACAATCAAAGCTGAAGCTATAGCTTACAACATGTAGCACTAATAATAAAAGGAGCCAAGGATAGAAGATCCATAACCTGAAAGTAAATGCCTAGTTATGGTCACCTGTCATTGTGGTAAGTTCAGGACAGGGAGGTTGCTACTGCTGCCGCCTTGTTTTCAGATACATAGGGACAAATATCTGTGGTACTAAGGCTGCAGAGAAGCCCTTTGTTTTGCACAACGACCTCCCCTTCTTCTGCTCTTTTAGTAGAGATGTGCATTTAATATTCTATTGGGAACACCATGAACAACTACAGTATAGCAATAATCAATACTTAGTAATTTAGGCTTCAACTCATGTATGCACACACCTAGGTTCTCTGAGGTGGAAGGGATCTATCTGAACACTTGGGCTGCATCACATGTAGGAAATCAAAGTTCCTAACAAAACGTTAACTGAAACCACATAAACATGTAGGAAGTATGAAGTTAAACTCTCCAAATGACAGAGCAAGGATCTATGCTACAGGCACACTAACAATGTACCACTGTGTTGAAGGTTCACTGAAATATGGGGGGAAATAGCTTACTGGTTTTTTGGGTTTTTTTGGGTTTTTTTTGGGTATTGCACTTCCCATCTTCCCACTTTCACTCTCTGATGCAGTTCACTAACATTTGAAGTTTTACGATCAATGGTTTCCCTTTTCAGCTGTATGCAAGCAGCTTGTAAAACACAAACTTAACTTGCAGTGTTAAGGGTTCCGATAAATTTAACGTAAAGAAAGCTTTCAAGGACCTCATTGATTCATTCAGAAGACAACACTGCCTATTAACCTTTTCTCATTAGCTAAAAGATAATTCTTCCTGGCCAAGGGAACTGGGGGTCCGTCGTGTACATTTCAGCAATCAGCTGCTTACACTGACAAGATCAACACAGGGAGAAAATCCATCAACTCCAAACGAGTGACTTTGGAGTAATACCATGGGGTGTGGTTCCGGTTTTTGTTACTGGCACATAGTAATGGGAACATGGACACACCACAACCCTGAATAGGAAGTTTGCTAAATAGCAATCAGCAGCCAGCTTTTTACTCTAGCTTTCTTCAAGAAAGCATGTGTCCATCTTAAATATAGGACCTAATCGCACTTCAGTATTTCCCACGAAATCTTAGAATCAAAATTATTGAAAAGCATTTTAAAACCCTATTACAGACTTTAATTCAGAGCATTTAAAGTAAGGCATATTAACAGCTTACAAATGAAGAGAAACTATAGGTTGTAATAAAAAAAATTATTTATAAAAAACCTAAACCCAAACTAATCCAATAGCTATGATGCAATACACTCAATACCTTATCTAAGGTCTTATAACAGCCTCTTCTGGCTAAGACAAAAGCAATCGTTTCAGAGAAAAGAAGGTCTTTCAGCTAGTTAACTAGAGAAGTAACAGAAAAGTCCAAGTTATTAAAACAGATAGCCACATCAAGAAATAAAGAAAATAAAAAGAAGAGGTATTTGAGAAGTGTGCCCTCCCCCAAAACAATATACCAGTTTTGGAAAATGTTAATTTCCTGCAAAACACTATCATTCATTTTCCCAGAAAACTCTATTTTAAAAAGACTTATTCTTGCAACATTCGGGCTTGAGGCACGGGCAGAGGACAGATGTTGTCTCTGACATTCTTGCTGTCACAAACTGACCTGTGAGACGAGATGACGTACTATATATTACACACTATCTGCTGGCAACACACTTTGATAGGCAGAGATAAAGCACCACACAGAGTATTAGTCTACACAAAAACCCTACACCCTATAAAGTCACCCTCAAACTAAAATTGCACAAAAAATGTAAGTAAAATGTAAGAAATGAAAATTCCTAGAAACTCAGTTGCATACACTTCAGCATATGCAGCAGCTCCCAGTTCCTTCCACGGGGCTACAGGACAACAGTGTCAGTGTTTGGAATTTCCTCAAATGTAAAGATGCGGGCTAGATACCAGCACTGAGTCATCTTCCCTCCTCTTGACTCCATGCTTTACTTTCAGTACAGTTAATTTGGTTTAGCTATACTACAACACAAACACAGGAGAGACAGTAAACTTCTATAGGTGCATGAATCCTGTTCTCTGCATTGTAATAAGCATAGGACAATTTACAAATCTGCTTCCAAATTGTGAGCCGGCTTCTGTGTATTCTCCCAGATTAAGGGGGATTCTGAAAACTACTAACAGAACAAGCTTTTATCTGTATAGCTACAAGGTCACATTAACAACCATTAAATTTTCCCTAAAGGCTTTAGCCCTAACTAGCCAGAGCTAAAAAGGCCACGACCTTATGCAAGATAATGATTTGCATGCACAGACCAGTCTCACTTGAGGCAACACTTGAGCTATTAAGTAACTCTTTCTTACAGACAGGCCTCTAGCAATCCAAAATGTCAGACCACAGCTGTATTTCTATTCATTTAGAAATAGATTAGAAGACTCAAAACTTGAGTGGCTAAACCAGAAATTTCATTGACATTAAGGTATCCAACCGTGGTTAAGTTCTGAACCAAGAATAATTTCCAGTGAACTCGTAACTACAAGCATTTAGCTTTTCAGCATTTCTGAAAGTTTCTTCAGTATTTTGATAAGCTATACAGCTTGGATACCAGTAGAAATAGGCATCACACACTTGTGTCTCAGATGCATTGCAAAACACATTTATAACAAGCTCAAGGCCGGGTCTGCTTCCAAGGCAAAAAAGTTCCTCTCAATCTATACATGGACGAAATCTCTTGGAGAGCAGTGAGCTGTCTTCAACAGTGCTATTTCATGAACAGCTTGCTGCTGCTGGAGAAGTAGGTTTCATTTTCTTCCACTTAATTTCTCTTCATCAAGCTCTGTCCCTGACCTACCCTCGCTTGAGCCTTCTCTGGAATTCAGCTGATTGTATGGCAAGC